TGGTTTTAATTTGCATTTCTCTAATGGCTAGTGATCGTGAGCATTTCCTCATGTGTCTGTTGGCCATTTGAATGTTGAAGACTGAATCATGACATAGGGCTGGAGAGTTGATATACCTCTGAGGTAGGAGAGTAAAGGTGCATTGCTGCCTTGCCAGCTGAAGACAAACTACTTCTGGTGGTCCTTTGAAACTGGTATGGAGAAAAAGGCATTGGCCAGATCAATAGCTGCATACCACGTACCAGGAGATGTATTAATTTGCTCAAGCAATGAAACCACATCTGGAACAGCAGCTGCAATTGGAGTCACCACCTAGTTAAGTTTTCAATAATCCACTGTCATTCTCCAAGATCCATCTGTTTTTTGCACAGGCCAAATACATAAGTTAAATGGGACATGGTGGGAATCACCACCCCTGCATCCTTCAAGTCCTTGGAGGTGGCAGTAATCTCTGCAATACCTCCAGGAATGTGGTATTGCTTTTAGTTTACTATTTTCCTAGGTAGGTGCAGTCCTAATGGCTTCCACTTGGCTTTTCCTACAATAATAGCCCTTACTCCACCTGTCAGGGATCCAATGTGGGGTTTCTGCCTGTTGCTGAGTGCATCTGTTCCAATTTTGCTTCTGGAACTGGGGAAATCACTACAGGATGGATTCAGGGACCCACTGGACCCACTGTGAGCCAAGCCTGAGCTAAGACTCCATTAATAACCTGACCTCCATATGCCCCCACTCTGGTGGGCCACAGTGATGTTTTTCATCTCCTGGAATTAGTACCAGTTCAAAACCCAGTATCCAGATATCCCCCCAAAATCTGATTATTTCCTTTTCCCCAATGAACAGTCACTCTCATAAAAGGCCCTAGATTCCTTTGGGGAAGGCTGGGAGAAAGATTAATAGTATATATTTTTGGCAGTGCAGTGGGGTCCTTCCTCAAGGGGAGCTGGCCTCCCCTTCATTCAAGTGAGTGTGGGTCTGTACACTGGCTCAAGACTGGGAATTGACTGAGGGGCTGTGACTCTCTATTCTGGCAATCTGAGTTAAACAGATGTTCACTTGACCTAGAATTCTTCTGCTTGCACAGATCAAGTAAATATTTATTTATTTAGATTTCTTATCTATTTCACTCCTAGGGACACCATGACTAAGTAAGCAATGCCAAAAGTCCATATGAGCCAGACTATTCTGATTATTGTTTTGACTCCACTGTCCATTAGGGTAACCATGTCCACCTTGTCTTTGTCAATTGAGCGCTGCCAGTTGGCCCTTACCACCACAGGGTTCAATCTGCCCTATTGTAGTTAGGTGTCTTAATTCAGTTAGGGCAG